CAAAATGTTTGTGTTTTGAAGGGGGGCGTTAAAAAAAATTACAGCGCTATTTATGGGATCCAGTTTTAATCATGCAATTAAAAGCTTTACCATTTTTTGGTAAATTTTTAACTGGCCCATGGATGACCCTGTTCTACAGTAACAAGCACAGTAACTTGGAAATGGTATGTTATTGTTTATTTATAAGTACTGAACATTAAATTTATAGCTTTTATTCTATGACTTTTTAACAATGGTAATGAGTTATAAAGATATTTCTTTTTTACATAAATTGAAACATGTTTTCTTTTTTTCCAGGGACCTTATATACAGAAGTCAATCAGGAATTTAGATTATTTAATTAAAAACCCCCAAAATTTAGTTAAAGCAGAAAGTAATATTTTTGGAGAGCAGATAGATGCTGCATCACTGATACCTTTTGATTGTGATGATGCTCAGTTAAAAATAAGGGAAGAACTGGCTAAAGCCTTTCACAAAAAGCTCACCCAACAGCTTAAGGATTTTTTGGAGGGTGGGAAATTGCATAACCCTTCTAAAGAGATGTTACTTCAGGCAGCTTCAGCTCCTGCTCATAACATTTGGGCCGAACGATCCCTTGGAATGACAGACCATCTTTTCTTGCGCTCCCCAAATGCTACTTTTGGATTTTTAGATGGCAAAATTAGGGCCAAAACAAATAAAACATTAGAGTGGTTAGAAGAACAACAGATTAAAGGCAATGATATGGTAAAGTTTGTGATTAAGAGAGCTGGCCAGCTGAAGAAAGAAGAGTTACTTAGGAGTAAAAGAGTTGAGGAAGAAATTATTTTTCGGCAACAGGCAGCTGTTAAGAAAAGAGATGAAGCACATAGGAAAAAGATAGATAAAGATGTAAAAAGTGCTGTATATTCTAAGGGACAAATTAGTGCAGAAGTTTTAATTGATATTCCCCCACAAATTAAAATAAAATTAGATGCTATCATTGAGGACAAGTCGTCTGTTTTGGGTGCTTACATAAAACATATTTGGGAAAATGACAAAAAAGACCAGGCATATTTTGGGCGTATCCTTAAAATTAAAGAAAAGGGTGGTAGTTTTCTTTTCACCATTGGATATTGGGATCCAGATAGTGAGACAGAAGCTGCTGGTGAAGATTATGACATTGCCATAGAAAAAATATTAACAGATCTCATACTAGGGGATTTGCTTTTTTTATAAATTTTTGTCTGAAATTCTGAATATATCTTATTATCTAGCCCCTTATTTTGTCTTAATAATATTATTTAGACAGTTAATTAGGTCCATTTATTAGATTATTTCATCCTTTGTTTGTTCTTTATGTTAAAACGTTAGTATTTTATAAAATTTAATTTAATTTTTTTTATTTTTTAAATTTTTTATTAAAAAAACTTATTAACTTGAACCTTAAAATTATTATTAAAAATACTATATTTAATTTTTTTTTACTTTTTAAATCTATAAATATGTTAATATAATGTTAAACACTTTTACAAAGTTTCATATTATTTGTCCACTCTGCTATAAAGTTATATACCTTTTCGTAAAAAAATTTTGAAAAGTGGTCACAAAAATAAGGCCTTTTTCCATGTTAAAAAAAGTGTGTTTTTATTCACGAAAAAAATCATAACTTTTTAACCAAAAGTACTACATGAAAAATGAAAACATATTATTACTTCATTTAACAAGGGCTATCTTACATATGTTTTAATTTTTTAATTCACTCAATTTGAAAATTTTATCCAACTACCTAGCATAGGGATAGATTTAGGGTTAGGCATAGGGTTCAGGTTAGGCCGGTTAGGCCGGTTAGGCATTGGGATCGATTTCCGACAATTTTTTCATACATTTTAAAATTTTTCTTCCAAATTTTAGCAAACGTGAATTATTATTATTTTTCCATGGCCGCCATCTTGGTTGCCTCGACCCGTGAACACGTAAAAGTGCGTGGGTCGAGGCAACCAAGATGGCGGCCATGGAAATAGACTCGGGCCGCTTTCTCTGAATTTACCATAATATACACAACTGAACTCCACTTTTACCAAATACGAAATGCGTTAAGAAATAATATACGCACCTGAACTCCACTGATTTGCCGCCAAAACAAAAGCAACTTCGATCTTGATTGATGTCATGTTAATGATTATAGAACTATATTTAAAATGGAATTAAAAAATACCATAAAATTATAAACATAAACGTATTCTTACTTTCTTTGAGCTGTACGTCTCATTGATGTTCGTGTTTCTTCAGTGCTTCATGGCAGTCTTGAAATGTGGCGCATTTGTCGATTGGTAATATTGGCTGTAAGGATAGTAAGGATGGCAAAGCAACAGGAAGTATTCGTCATAACCGGCACGTGACCAACCGAATATATAATAGAGACCTCACGTGACCAGCCGGATCCGAATAGCCATTTGCTGCTATACGTACCTAGCCACTCCGTTGTTTTTATTAATTAAAGACCATAGGTCAAAACATAAGAAATGGCATAAAGTTCTGACTCGTGGGGTTTATGTCGTTCGCTTTCTTGCCTCCAGAGGTTTGGGTTAAACTATTGGGTCAGCAAACAATGGAAATTGTTTAGGCATTTTAGAGCTACTGAGTGAATTTAACACTTTTTTGGAAGATTATCTCAAACTGTATGAAAAAACTGGAAAGGGTAACACATCATATCTGTCGGCATATATTTGAGACAAATTTATTGATCTAATGGAGCAACACGCCCTCTGTGCTATTCTGGAAGAAATTGAAGAGTCAAAGTATTATTCAATAAGTTATGATTCCACTTCAGACATTTTACACATTGATCAACTGACATTTACGGTCCGGTACATTCGAGGATGTAAAGTCTGTGGAACGTTTTATCAAGTTAATTTCCATATTTTCCCATAGAGCAAAGGATCTAGCAGACACTGTTGTGTATGAAAGGATCTAGCAGACAATGTTTTTGATTTCCTGAATGAGAACCAAATTCCGCCTTCAATTTGCCGTGGTCAATCGTATGACAAAGCTTACAAATTATATGTCTGGACGCTACGCTGGATTGCAAGCACGAGTTAGCCGTGTATGTCCCTTGTGCTGGACACAGCCTGAACTTAGTGGGCTTAAAAGCAGCAGAGTGTTGTCTACAAGTTGGACAATTCTTTGACTTTCTTCAGCGCCTATATACCCTTTTCTCATCGATGGAATGTTCTGGTATCTTCCTTAGGAAAATCTCTCGTTGTCGTAAAGCATCTGTCTGACACAAGATGGTCGGCACATATTGATGCCGTCAACGTTTCGAAAAAAATACAAGATGCTCTTGACTATGTATCAGCTGACACTGATCAGGAAAAGAAAAAAACGAGGCGTGGGGCAGAATGACTAAGTAATAAAATGGAGAACCTGATAATTTATCATCATCTGGGATGAATTCTAATGTATTTCTGATCATGTTTTAAAACCATTGTTGCACTGGAGTGATTTTTTTATTTTTTTTATTTTTTTTTTGTATACATAATTTGAATTAACCTATTTTAACTTTATTGAATGTTTATTCTTATTTTACAATGATATTTCTCGTGGTGAGTTGGGTTGGGAGCAACAACTTTTGGCGCCCCCCCCCCACACTGTTTGAGTATGGTTCAAGTGCCCCACTTCGCCCCCCCCCCCCTTCTTACAAACAATTTGGCACTTTGTTACACTTGATACGTCACTGAAATGAACGTGGGAATAATGTGTACATTACGCCAACGCACAGTCAAAGCAAGGCGGTGACAGTTGGTGCCACTGGCCATGTAGAGCCTACACGTATTTCATGTTTGAATAATCATAGCAGACTTGTCGAATACTGTACATGTGCAGGGTTTCTTTCAGCTACATCCCCGGGGAAAGCCAAGTGCACCCCACCCCGCGGAGCAAAAATATGTCCAACAATAAATCAACTGGCACTGCCCCCCCCCAAAAAAAAAATCTGAATCCCCGGGGAAAGCCAAGGGCACCCCACCCCGCGGAGCAAAAATATGTCCAACCATAAACCCACTGGCACCGCCCCCCCCCCAAAAAAAAAATCTGAAGTGCCCCCCCCCCCCCGGGAAAAAATTCTGAAATAATCTCTGTACATGTACAGGTTGAAAAAAGATGCGCATGCAAACTGTTTTAAGCGCATTAACATTTTACATTATTTTATAAGTGTACTTCTTTCTGCTAGGAAATAAATGCATAGCTTATTTCTGATTCTGATAGGGTACGGTTGCAGCATCCATGATCTGGCATATGTGAAACGGTTTGGGAAACGATGCGGCTATCCTAGCGGCTCCTGAAACCCTCGATTGATGTTGAGTCCACGGCGACATTGTCCAGTTGGTTCCAAGCAATTATTGTTCACCAAGCTATAAATTATTTATTTTAAAAAGGAAAAAAAAAATTTGTGGGGATATTGGTTGAGTTTCCTAACTTTTCCCAGGACTGACTCTAGTTTCTTACACTTACGCACTTACAGTCTTATTGTTCGTTTTCTAATTTTTTCTTATTTTAAATGTGCATACGACATATGTCTTGTTCTTTCGAAATATTGTGCATGATCATCGTTCTGGTTTTTTTCCAAGGGTTTGTGCTTTTCATGGGTTAATAACTCGCTTTATACCTATAGTTTATATCTTTAAAAATTACTTTTCTAGAGTTACATTAACATTTTACAAATATCTTGGTCATTTAGTTGAAAGCCACACCGCCTGATTTGGGCACGTTTCCGCTTCCTGCATAAACATTCAATTCGATACTACTACATAGATATTGAATGTAGTTCGATTCCAAAACATACTTTACAAATTTCCACGTTTTAATCCGGAAAAGCTTATTAAATATTTTTTAAAGTTTGGATAAAATATTAAATACTAAGAGGTCAATAAAATTATTAACAAAGTAATGGCATACATTTTTAACAGGGGGGTTTTCAAAGGTGGCATGGTTTCATGTATTTTAATATCGATGCCATCGAATTTCATTGTAACAGACGCAAATTACCTGGGCCACCACAGTTATCCATGTAAATTTTCGTAGATTAATTATTATTTTTGTGGCTGTTATTTGACACTCTTTTTATCTATCAGAATGAGTAAACGAAAACTTCCATCTGGTTCAGTTGCATTAAGTCAGTACAGGGATCAACATTTTAGGGTAAGATGTAGTTTAAAAATAATTGAAGACTATTATTATTAATTATTTAGGCGAGGCCGAGTGGTAAGCAGACCAGACGAAGCTCCAGACTTAGATACCAGTACTAATCTCAGACTAGTACTAGTATCACTAGTGATTTCGAGCTCTTCTACTTCTAGCCGTTCTAGTACTGGCTTTATAAAGTCTGCGTCTGACAAGTAGACCTCAAAGTTGAAGCTTAAACTAACTAAACTTTGTTGTTTTGTTTGTTTTTTGGTTTAAAAATGTCTCATTTTCAAATGATTTTGTTACAGATACAGACATCCTAAAGTTTTTATGGCTACTAAAAAAATTTTACATGACATTTTGATTGACATTTTTGACGGACTGTCCGAAATTTACAGTTTACAAATAGTTGGTAATCCCTCGTACTGGTGAAAATTAAGTTTGTTATTGTTATTGATTATTCTGTAAACTAGCACTTCAACGTCGGCTATTAAATTATCATGATTTGTGTATGACGTGCAATCACAAAGGAGTGCATAGAGAGATATAGTCTATCAGTTTCATATAGACATTGTGTCTTGGATTCAAAGGCAGCATATGCAAAAATAAATCATATTAAAAATTTAACACAGAATCCACAAAAACTTGATCAGCAAAACTTTCTTAATACAAATGACACCTTCACAAAGAATGTAGACGTAGAAAATATGTGGTTGTGCGAGAAGCAAGCGCAAACTGAAAAGACAGTTAGACACCAGCCAAGCTCTTATCACTTGATATTTCTTTCATTGTTACCTTAGGGCCCCTAAGGCTAAGGGGGAAAGCTATGATAAACTTAAACTCTGTTTGTTTACATATTATATTTTTTTTTTACATTAAATTGCTTAAGTTTAAAAATGTTGTCTTAATCAGAATATTTATATATACCGGTATCATAATATTTGTGCTGAAATTAATATGTGCAATTTCATTTTTTTTAAAAACTTTTTTATTCATTAGGATCTATAAAAGAATTTTTATCTTATCAATTGAGAATAATAATAATAATTAGTGGTCTTTTATAGCGCGGTACCCCAGTCTAGGGCTGGGCTCACAGCGCTGTACATAAAAATATTATGAAAAGAGACATAACCAGTAAAATAGAACTTTAGACTCAAAAAGACCAATTTTTGAAGTGGTAGATCAATTATCAAAAATTAATTATTTAATTTATATTTATTAGGATACCACTAAAGGCTTGATTGATATATAAAAATGTGCATTGATGTCTAGAGCATTGTTTCATAATTCTTTAGTTTGGCGGAAAGATGGATAAGTTTAGCACCTCACCAGGGAACGTTGCTAGATGTATAAATTATTTTAACTTTTTATTGGACATTAAGTATGTCATAAATGTGAGAGGACTCACTTAACTATTGCAAAAAAAATTTTTTAACGGTTGTAATTTTTTTTTGAGGTGGGTATATTATACTAAATTATGGCTGTTAAATTTTATTTAACTTTTATCCAATTTCTTGTCTGATGTTGTGCACCAGCAACATAAGGCTTGCTGACAACCACTTTTGGAAACACTGGTCTAAAGCATTAATCATCAACCCCTTGGCCATGTTAAATCTATAAATTTGGTTTAATCAGGATACATGGTTTGCCATCATAAGAGATATGTGTGTGTTAAACAATATATTTTTGTTATGAAAAATATCAAACCATTTAACACAGTTTACCCTAAACAGTCATGTAAAGAATAATATTTTCATTTTGAAAAAATCCATTCTTTTCTAGGCTTTTAAATATCTCCAAAATGTATACCCAAAGTCATTCAGCTAAACTTTTTTTATTTGTCACGACTAACAATCACAAACAAATAGTTCTTAATTTTTATTTTAGACATTATTTTTTAAATTAATAAATGCCCCCATAATGCATGCATATGATATAGTAAGTTCCAGCAATGTTTTATCCACATTTGATGTATGTTTATATGTTTGTCTTAGCATATTAACCAGTTATTTAACATAGGCACCAAATAGCGATTACTACCTTTTAAGTGTAACATACTTTTTTATTAGCTTTATGGTCAAACAGAGCTTAAACAATTATGAGGCACTTGCCTTGTGAGCCCACAGTAAAGGTAAACCAGATGTAAACCTAGCTTGGTAAAAAGAGGGCCTTTTAAACAAAAAGTTACCCCGAGTGCCAAAATATCTATGGCACGTGTTCATCAACTCCCTAGGGCACGGTTAAAAGGTTCGATGGACCATGTTCTGGCCATTATTCATTATTTACTATACTGTTGCCCTTGTGTCCATTATAGAGTACAGACAGCAAGAATACAACACTGAGGGTAAGTATATGTTCCCTCTAGGAATTTAAGTGATGCTAAAAAATATGGCGCCCGACCTGTCGACAACACAGGACTGACATATTTCTTAGGAGTCTTGACATCCTTTGTTTATTTAATCATTAGAATTACCTGGTGATAGTTAAGAACAGAGCAGCTTCATTGTAGATGTAGGTCGCTCCAATCAACAACATTCAACATTTTAATATTTAGAGTAGTTCATTTAATTTTTCATTTTCAAGTTACATAATCTAAATTAACGTGTTCTTTGTCTCTCAAATTTTGAAATGGTAGGGAACTGCTAGGATATAACTATTAAATTTAACAACAAAAATCTGTCCCTTGAGAGGAAACTGCATAGTTGGTTTAGGTTTAAATAATATTTGTGTGTGACGTAGACATATATTTTTTAAAATTTTATTTTAAAAATTGTAAAATATCTTGATTGGTTTTATTTTTTGCAGTTGTTTCAACCTAAATGGTGGATCAATATTTAAGTATTAATTTCATTAAAGATTCATAAAATTATTCAATTTTACATTTGTGTATTTCCCTCATCACTTGCCTATTCTTCATTTCAGGTGATAGCTATGCAGTGGACCTTTGTTTAATGCCAGGATTTTCTTGGGAAAAAAGGGTTGTTAAAAGAGAGTTACTAAAATCCTAAATGTTTTACAGAGATTTAGCTTTAGAGATGGATTAGATTGAATAAATGGCTTTCAAAGTCCCATTTACCAAGTAGGTTAATTGAAGAGTTTACTGGTCAAGCAGTGGTATATAGTGGCTAAGATAGCATGGCCCTTTTTGATCCCAGATATCACCCCATAAAAGGAATTTTAAGGTGGGTCAGAGGCAGGACCGGCCCTGCTGTTGCTGGCGCCCCGGGCAAGCATAATTTTGGGGTGTAATAATAAAAAATTTTGCACAGTAAAAACTAGGGGTTAGGTAATGAGTTCATTACCTAGGTGTTTTTCTTCTTAACAAACGATAAACAATAATGAACAATGAGCCTATTACCAATGACATTTCTTTTAGCCTTTAGATTAGTAAATAGTTTTATTGCACTTTTTATTGTTATTCCATAGCATCCACATGCAATGCTTTTTCCTATTTTGGAAGATCGTTGATGCCGCCCTAAGCACATAGTGCCCCGGGCAACTGCATCAGTTGCTGGTACATTGAGCTGGCTCTAGTCAGAGGGATGCTAAATGTAACACACACGCCCCCCCCCCCCCCCCCCCCCCCTTCGGCCGTGTCTTGTTCTACATGAGGAATTTATATTGGAAGGAGAATCTCTGTCACTGATTTTAATATTTTAAAGCAGCTGCAATGGTTATTTACTTTTATGTATCTGACATCAGATGGTGTAGTCTTTACTCCCTCCAAATCTATTTATTTTTGGAGTAGCAACAGTGACCTTTTGTTGGTAACACAGAAAGTCTTGGCATTTAATATAGGTCAACTGCAAGTCCAGCCCCATTGAGAGATTGAAAAAGACTCTTTGATACTTTGATATAAATTGTGGACTTACAACTCACTGAGACATTGTGTGGGGGGTGCCACTTACAATCGGGGGTCTTTTAATTTAATTCTTTTCTTTCTTACGGCTAACCCTTGCAGGGCAATCGAACGGAACAAGAGAAATTGCTGCTCTTAAGCACAACGTTGTACATAGGTAACCTGTCATTCTACACAAGTGAAGCTCAGATCCATGAGTTGTTCAGTCGAGCTGGCGATGTGAAGAGGATTGTCATGGGGCTTGACAAGGTCCAGAAAACCCCTTGTGGGTTCTGTTTTGTGGAGTATCCTTTTATTTGTCCAAATTAAATTTAAACATCATTTTTTATGATTGGTTACAATAATTTTTATCTGAACATTGTAGTTCAGGTTTTTTCCTTAACCGTGGCTCAGGTATTATACAAGAGCTGATGCAGAAAATGCCATGAGGTATATAAATGGGACACGGTTGGATGACAGAATTATCCGTACAGACTGGGATGCTGGATTTAAAGAAGGGCGACAGTACGGGAGGGGCAAAACTGGTGGCCAGGTAAACAACTAACCATCATGTGTTCCTCATACTGTGCCAGGGTTGTTGCTATTATGGCTGTGGTGTGCTCTGACACGCTAATCTTTACTGTAACATTTGCTGACCTTGCTTCACAGAGAAGCAGGCTAATAATACATACTATACGAATACTGGCAACAGAATTAATTTTCGCTGATGAAAATTTGGATAGACACACAATGTTTGATACTGATATCCATCAAGACGTTATACAAATTCAAAAAGATTGCTTCTGTCATCAAAAAATGTATAATTTAAAAATAAAACAAACAAAAAAATTAAATTAATTCCCAAGTACATGTTTTGTGAAAGGGTTTTGGGGAGTTTGTATACACGATACATGATTTTGACATTTGACCTCACTAAATTTCAGGTTCGAGATGAATACCGCACAGACTTTGACGAAGCCCGGGGAGGTTATGGCAAAATGTTGGCCACTAAGATCAGACGCACATCAGATGTGTCGTGACCTACTTGTTTCAGTTTCATCTCAGTTTTTTTCTATTGTGTGGATGAATGTGAATCCTGGTGTGTCTGTAAGTGGGAGTTACGCTGAATGACTAATTTAAGTGGGAGCTATGCTATATGAGTGGGAGCTTTGCTGTATGAGTGTGAGGTGCGCGTGTCTGTAAATAAATTTGAAAGTGAACCAAATGAGTTGAACCAAATGAGTTTTTAATTTCATGAGTGTGAGTGGGAGGGGAGTGAACCCCAATGGTGTATTTTGTAACATGCTTTGGAGCTAACTAATACGTGAGTTATCTCCTTTTGTTTTAAAAACACATGAAATCTCAAATTGTGTGGTAGTCTACAATGTGAATGAATAAACCTGTCCAAGAATTTATTTCATATTTGTCTGTTTTTTCTCTGGGTAAACCTTTTCATACATATTTTTTTTAGTATTTAACAATATTTTTGTAACATTGCAGGAAGTAAACCGATACGCTGTATGTTATATTTATTATCTCTTAAAACTTTTTACCCGTATATATTTTGCTTCTGGTGTGGCTACTTCCTTTTCACAACCAACCCTCCCCCTTACTCAACACGTTTCATATTAGTACTGAGAGGAAGGAAAAGCTGTCACAAAGTGAGCATTCATGCGTGGTGGCTGATCTCAGGTGAAAAGGTTGAATTTTTCAGAGGCGATTATTTTATTAATTAATAAAGAGCTAGGGGTATGGTGTAGCCCTACCTGTAGGACTGTAGGTAGGTGTATTGTTTAAAGGACTGTCTGTAGGTCTATTAATTATAGAAAATGAAAACACTTGGACTTGGACCCACCGATTATTCTTTCAAAATACCAGGACCAGGTGTAAAAAAAACTGCACCCAGTTAAGCCGTAGTTTTCATAATGGCGACTGTTGTTGCTGGCTGTTTATCAAAATCTCACTTACAAAAATAGAAATGTGCAGTATATGATTTATGCTTTAAACAAATAAAATTAACATAGTTACCTGTAAGACCAGTGGGACATAGTTGCCTTGTATTTTGAAGTTGTATGCCCCCCTCAACCATGACTGGCAGGTCCAGAATCGGGGTCGTCACCAGCTGTAGGTAAATAGCCAGGGGGATTTCACTCGTCCGGCCAAGATTCTATCATTTAGTATGGCCATCAGCTCATGCCTACTTTGATTTTATCTTAACCTTTCTTTGTTACATGGTACTGTTGACGTGCTGAAGATTTATAATTCAATTTACAGTGACTTAAAGTTAATCCCAGTTTATGGGGGAGGTCAGCAGACATTCATTATTTTATTTTTCAGCCACTTAAGACCAATACAGTTATGATGGATGCATTTAATTTTAGTTTTAATAAATATTTGAAATTGTACACGTTATTTGAGAAATAATTGTTTTTCAATGAATGAGCTATTAGTGCAAGTGTACAACACTTTTAATTATGAATTGATTGTTAATGCTAGGGTACCGTACCTGGTTCAATTTTTTAAAATCATTTAGCCAAGAACAAAGTAGGTCCCCATATAAATAATTTCTATTAAGTATTAGTATATAAATATGTATCATACAAAAAAAAACAAACAAGAGAACATAGGCATAAATATTTTATTCTGAAACATAATTCATAAATTACACGGGACTGTCTGAAACATAATTCATAAATTATACGGGACTGTATAAATTATAAATGTTGTAATAAGCATTTAAGGATTATGGTAATAAAATAAATGTCAGATTATCTTTAAAAAATTTAGTGGAGTGATCCAAGTGACACCATGAACAGTTATGCAGGCATCACATTGTCTTTATAGCACGCTGGAGTGATCCAATTGACACCATGAACAGTTATGCAGGCATCACATTGTCTTTATAGCACGCTGGAGTGATCCAATTGACACCATGAACAGTTATGCAGGCATCACATTGTCTTTATAGCACGCTGGAGTGATCCAAGTGACGCCATGAACAGTTATGCAGGCATCACATTGTCTTTATAGCACGCTACATTTTCTGTGGAGATGTACCTTAAGAAATTTGAAGGTAACACAGTTCTTTCACAAAATTGTGATTCCAATAGAGTATTGTTCCATTTAAAAAAAAAAAAATGCCAAATAAAGTTTTTTTCCTCATTCAGAACGTTGGGTGAGTAAATATTGTCGCCTTGTGATCGAATGTAGTAAGAAGCGGAATGAGATACATCAAAATTAAATTGACGGAACAATTCTCAATTTCCGTCTCCAATTCATTTTAATATTTCTAAGAAAAAAAACCAACTACAAATGGTTTGGATTTTTTTTTTAAATCACAAAATTTCTGCTCATTAGTAAAATTTATTACCTGCACTAAAGACCTGGATGAAAACCAAAGGAAAAAGATTCAGCTCAGTGTTCAACTTTATATCAGTGGTTCTTAAACCTTTGTGGCGTGAAACCCCATTGGAAATATACATGTAAAGGTAACGCGCCGCTCTCAGATGAATTGTTTTTGTTCAGTCCGCTGATAACACTGAAATTTTGGTGTGTTTTTGTTTCTTGAACATTTTGTTTACTCTGCCCACTAACACTTGCTGGACCTGTTGCAGCAGGAATTGGCGATCAGAGTGTCTCTTCTCTCAGAAGAATACCGGTACTTTTAAAAAAAAAAAAATTATTTAAAAAATATATCATAATATTAATACACTCCCTAAAATCATCTACCAGTGTCCTTAAGGACTCCAACTAAACTATCGATAGTGTCCTTAGGAACTCCAACCAAACTATCGATGGGTAAGGGTCGTTCGTAAAATACGGCATGCAAAAAATGACATTTTGAGACCCTCTCTACCCCGTCACAAAGTGCCACAAATTGTTTACCCCCGCCCCCCCCCCTTTCTTTTAGTGTCACGTCACACCTAAAAAAATCAAAACATACATAAAATTTTCAATACCAAAACTAATAACTAATCCATAACGGATTAAGATGTAGTATTATTAAAAGCTGTGAGGTAAAACGCCAAACAGCGAAGTCATCCCCGGGCCGAATGAAAAAATGGCCACACAAGTTTTTCCATCATTTTTCGATATGCGCTGGTGTGCGCGACTGAGTTTCAAGGTACCGGTACTTATGATACCCGAGGCGATTTCGACCTCAAACAGTTTTTAAAATTACCGGTAATTGAATACAGATTTTGGAAATTTGAAAATTTTAGATTTAAAAAATTATATATATTTTTTGTAACGTCTAAATCCCCCCCCCCTCCACAAATTCTCGACTCCCTCCTCCTACTGAGCGTGACGTAATTTACGAACGACCCCCGTAGACCTCCGTAATAATAATACTAATTTTTAAAAAAAAAACTTATTACATTCCCTTTGCTTTTTTGTAACCCCATTTTCCACGAAAATCTCCGCTGCTGCACGCAAGCTGACAAAACTTAAGCTACACATAATCCGCAACTTTTTTTACACTTCTCCTTCATGTAGGCCGAGTTGCTGTCACACTCGCCCAGGTCCGCCCACGACGTGCAGTAGACGTTGCCGTCCGCGCACACTCCCGTCACAGGTGGTGGCCGTGGGGTCGGGTCAGCCAGCAGGGGTTTACCTGTTTAAGACAGTTTTCAGACATTAGCTCTCAAGCTTCATCAATATCAACTGTTACTGTTCATTCGTTTCACCATTTCATCAAAAACAAATATTAATCCCAGTTAGTTTTTTTACAAAAATAGAAATAATCCGTAGGCCGAATGGTTTGGGTAGGCTGGCAGGGGCGTAGCCAGGGTTTGCACCCCCCCCCCTCCCGGGTGGACCGAGAAATTTTCCAGCCATTCCGACGAAAAGAAGTTGTTACGTTGGTAAACCACGATACATACGTTTTAAAAAAATGGTTGTAATTACGTATTGCAGAGTTAGTTCATTACATTTCTTTATACAAAGAGTTATGCAGTGTTTATTTTAATTAATTTTGGATTTTAAACAAATCCATAATCTTACCACTTCTAACATTTTCCTCGACCCATCAAATATGACATTCAACATCACACACAAATATTGACTTTCACATCGCATAATACAATGAAGACCTTTCACACCACCCACGAAAGGTGACCTTCCACATCCCACGCAAATGATGACCTTCTACGTAACACACCAACAATGGTTTTTCAAATTATACATTAGTGATGACCTACCACATTCAATGTTATGACCTACCAAAATGACACCATTATATCGTATATCAATCATCACTGTATGACCTCAATGACTAGACACCATTACATCATTAACACATACCATGGCATGAATCACCACACCACTGACATGACGCACTACACCATGCCATGACTAACCACACTACTGACACCATTGACATGACATTGACACAATGACATGACTCCATACTCATGAGACATGACACACCTCGTGCAACCTGACATGACTCACCCAAAACCACTGACAACATGACTCACCCCACCACCGTCACCTTGCATGACACACCACCGACACATGGCATAAAACATAACATGACACACCACTGACACATGACATGACACACCACGGACACCATGATATAACACCACTGACACCACGACTCACCACACCACTGACAGCTACTCCTGCACTCCACCTGCATGTAGCTAGGGTTCATTTCGCATTCACCATGTTTGGCCCAATCGTGGCAGTACTTGCTCTTGTCTTCACAGCTGTCTGGTTATCAAAATACTTGTTATTACTTTATAACAATACTATAAACACTTATTATGGGACAAACAGCCCACTAAAATATGTGTGCTGTAGACTGCAGAGGACCTCAATGCTGGAAGTGAAACTTATGTGGTGGAGTAATAGCACAGCAGAAGCTCAATTATCCGGACGTGTTGTAACCCGGCTGGTAGCCGTTTATTTTTCCGTTGAGTTGTGACACACTTAATATAGATTTTAAAAAAAAAACAAGCTTTTAAAACATTAAAATTTTTTTTTTTTTTAAAGTATAAAAGTTTGATTCCCCAACACAAAAAAAAATTTCATCTTAAATACTGCGTTGTATTCGTCTTCTTGATTACTGCGTTGTATTCGTCATCTTGATTACTGCGTTGTATTCGTCATCTTGAGCACTGCGTTGTATTCGTCATCTTGATTACCCGTAGCTCATTTTCGACTACTTAGTAAGTTAGTCTTTGACATGTTTGGACAATCTGTCCTGTTTGTTCCATAGCAGTCATCAAAGCGCTTTAAATCTCAAAGTGAAAATTGATGAGCCAATGCCTGTCAAATAGTCGATGCATTGGGCATGTTTTAAACCGTTTAAATTTTTTTTTTTTTTTTTTAAAATTTTAACTATAAACTATATATATCTATTATCATAGTAATGACTCCAAGAATTCAAATTAGTTCCGTTTTTACAATCTCTTGCACATTAATTTTTTTTTTTTTTTTCTCAAAGTGAAAATTGATGAGCCAATGCCTGTCAAATAGTCGATGCATTGGGCATGTTTTAAACCGTTTAAATTTTTTTTTTTTTTTTTAAAATTTCAACTATAAACTATATATATCTATTATCATAGTAATGACTCCAAGAATTCAAATTAGTTCCGTTTTTACAATCTCGTGCACATTAATTTTTTTTTCTATTTCGTTACTTACTCGAAATAGTGGAGCAAGATAATGTTTAGGCTTGAAAACTATTGCACGCCACTTAAACAGACGTTCACTTACTTTAAGAGTTGCTTATTGAACGCGTCATTCACTCTTATATAAAGTAAGATAAGATTCTTTTATTGATCCAAAAAAGTGGAAATGTTTTATGATTGCTTTGTACATATCTTTTACTTCCTGATGCCAGCCTTTACCACAGTAAGTTTCCCTTTTATAAATGGCATCAAACATATTTACATACTGTTCTTCTCTGCTAGAATTTCTTCACTTTTGAATGATATGTTCCAATGATTTAAACGATGTTCACCAATGGCACAGTGTTTTAGTTTGTGCCTACCTGGAGAATGGTGCATGCCTCCAGTGGTGTGCCTACCTGGAGAATGGTGCATGCTCCAGTGGTGTGCTTACCTGGAGAGTTGTGCATACCTGGAGAGTTGTGCCTACCTGGAGAGTTGTGCCTACCTGGAGAATGGTGCATGCCTCCAGTGGTGTGCCTACCTGGAGAATTGTGCTTACCTGGAGAGTTGTTCCTACCTGGAGAGTAGTGACTACCTGGAGAGTTGTGCCTACCTGGAGGATGGTGCATGTCTCCAGTGGTGTGCCTACCTGGAGAATGGTGCATGCCTCCAGTGGTGTGCCTACCTGGAGAATGGTGCATGCCTCCAGTGGTGTGCCTACCTGGAGAGTTGTGCCTACCTGGAGAGTTGTGCCTACCCGGAGAATGGTGCATGTCTCCAGTGGTGTGCCTACCTGGAGAGTTGTGCATGTCTCCAGTGGTGTGCCTACCTGGAGAGTTGTGCCTGCCTGGAGAGTTGTGCCTACCCGGAGAATGGTGCATGTCTGCAGTGGTGTGCCTACCTGGAGAGTTGTGCATGTCTCCAGTGGTGTGCCTACCTGGAGAGTTGTGCATGTCTCCAGTGGTGTGCCTACCTGGAGAGTTGTGCCTACCTGGAGAGTTGTGCCTACCTGGAGAGTTGTGCCTACCTGGAGAATGGTGCATGCCTCCAGTGGTGTGCCTACCTTGAGAGTTGTGCCTACCTGGAGAGTTGTGCCTACCTGGAGAATGGTGCATGCCTCCAGTGGTGTGCCTACCTGGAGAGTTGTGCCTACCTGGAATTTTGAGCCCATCTGGAGTTTTGTATCCACCTGGAGAGTTGTTCATACCTGGAGTGAATTCCGGAAGTTTTAATTGATACTCTCTTGTTAGGTCGCAGTTCGTCTCTAGAACTTGGCTGTGCTCTGCTTCTAGAATGATGCATGGAAAAATATTAGTCAGCGCTCCCCAACAGACAATTTTTATTGTGATAAAACTTTGTCTAACAGATTTCGCATTTACCCCCACCCCCTTTTTTTTTCCATTTCCAATCCCCTCCCTTCCTCTCCCTCCTATCACATTAGAATGCCTCATCTTCACATTTCTGGATCAGTCATTTCATTTTCCTCCACCTGTAAGCCACACTATTCCCTCCCTCCCCCACCACTCCCCCCCAACTCCGTTTAAACGATTTCTACATCCATCAAAATGTCATCTATTATTATTTAAAATAAAAATCCAGCCTTAATGTTAAATGACAGTGCAATGACGTTGACAGCAGGGTTTCTTTCAGCTATATCTCGGGGGGGGGGAAGCCAAGTGCCCGGAGCAAAAAAAAAAAAAAAATTTACAGTGCCCCCCCCCCCCCAACCGGGAAATTTCTGAAATAATCACTGGTTGACAGACACGCTGATTGCCAAAAGCGACCTACCTCTCGTAGAGTTGCACCGCTTCAGAACTGTATTCCCACACGGGAACATCAGTTCGATGAGGCGATACAGCGTTGGGTCGTAGTCTCGCAATTTCTCGGGAGAATCCACCGGCCCGTGGACGCCGTCGGCGGGGTCGCTGAAGGCGTTGACCCGGAAGTAGCTCTGGATCCCCTCCGCCTGTGAATGACAAGTCAACGTGTGGGTTAGTTTGAGATGGGCTCCGAGACCACTGATGTGGCTATAGGATTCGTGGCGTAACGAAAGGATAGTCATGTAACTAAAGATTGGGGGAGTACATTGGACTTCCTCAAACCTATTAAAAATCTCTTTTTTTTTTTTAGGATTTCAAGGTAGAACGTACAACAAAATGAATGGGTCAAAACCTGCTCTTGAAATGACGCAATTGATCTATTTCTATAGCACAAATCAGTTGTCGGCTGCTTACGATCGGTAGAGGCGCAGCTACGGTGTTTGGCGCCCGGGGACAAGATTCATTTTAAAGAGCATCCCTTTCTTTTTTTTCAAACTCAAACCCATTATTTTCATCAATAAAATAATATCAAAGCACATTTTGGCGCTCCCAACCAGGATTTCTTTCAGCTATATCTCCGGGGGGGGGGCAGTGACCCCCCCCC